TTTTTAATCCACTGTAAATTCCTATACCTAATTCCCTATACCTAGAAGTTTAAAAATTCTTCTGGTAAGTTACAAGCCTCAGGTCTATGCATTAATCTTCTCTGTATTAATATGACTATATGGCTGGTCTATACATAATAGAATGGTTAATCTTCTCTGGAACTGTTCTTTTACAGTTTGAATTAAAGCTATTTATTTATAATCATGTTATCTAATTTTTGAAAAACGTTTTTGACTTCACTGAGTTTGAGTTTTTAGCAGTATTTAGAATACATATATACTCATGAAAGGTTATTAAAATTCAGCTGAAAATATCTTGAGTTTTTCTTCACATTTATTGCAAGGTTAAATCAGAAATTTTATGAGTGTGTAAATGGAAAAACTTACACAGCAACTAACAGATCCTTATCTATCTATCATTTATTGAATTGTGGTCTGAATTCAAGATTTTTTTCTGATGCTGTCTAAATCAGATTACGAAACTTGTGGTAGGCCTAAAAAAGGATTTTGGAAACAATTCTAGTAATACTACTCTAAATAACAGTACACACTGGACTTCAGAATATTTTGTCAAAACTGTACAAATACAAAACTGTATTACTTTTGGATTAATTTATGCCTTTTATCTCATTTATCTGTGAGATATCATTTATATCATTTATATGCCATTTATCTCATTTATTATTCTTTAAGCTGGCCCTGAGCCTAGCCTTACAACCCCTGGAGTAAAAAGGCACTCAGGAATCTGATACTGAGTTTACTATTTATCAGCACCTTCCTTTGGTACAACAGTTGGTAGTGCTTTCCAGTTCCATCTGCTTCTTATACCTATCTCGAGTTACATTTAAAATTTTGTCATTGGCAAAATTTATTATAAGACAAGAACTTATAGTGAGTTAAGACTTGCTGACAAAAAATTTTAACCATATAGCTATAACAGTCCAGAGAAGGACAATGAAGGTGGTAAAGGGGCTGGAGCATAATTCTTGGGAGTAATGGCTGAGGGATCCTGGAGAAAAAGAGGCTGATATGATTGATCTCTACAACTACCTCAAACAAGTTTGAAGAATGGCAGGGGTCAGTCTCTTTCCCCAGGATAAGAAGAAATGGCCTCAAGTTGTGCCAAGAGAAATTTACATTAGTTATTAACATTAGTTATAACAAGTCTTCCCAAAATGAGTGGTAAAGCTATGAAATACACTACTCAGGAAAGTTGTAGAGTCTAGATGCATTGAAAAATTATGCAGATATGCAGGCAATTGAAAGCATGGCTAAGTGTGTGGAACACACTGGTGACACTGGTTGCTGGACTTGATGATCTTAAATGACTTTCCAACCGGAATGATTCTATGTTTCAGTGATTCTATGGATTAAAATTCAGTTACTGGCCTAAGTAACACAAACACAATTTTCCTATTAATGTGCTTTTCAAACCTTTTTTTCTCAATTTTTGTTGTTTAAATTCACATGGAATTGTTGCATTAGTAATATAATTTAAATTGCTAAGTCAGCGCCCTTTCTAGTTTATTTCCGGTGGTCCTCAGGACTTGTCCAGCCACTGCACATACAGAGCTGGAATTCCAACCCATGCAACAGTTATTTGGCTTGAGCCACAGGAAGCTCAACCACATCCTGGAACTCTTCATTTATAAGACATTTACAGGACTACCATGTCTTCCTGTTTTTTTCTTTTATGTTACATCATGATGCCAGAAAAATAAGACTTATCAACCTAATTTAAATTGACATGGAAACTTTCTCTGATTCAAAGCTCCCAACAATGCTTCCTTGAAATGCTGCTTAATTTTTACTTAGAATCATAGCATGGTTCAAGTTGGAAGGGGTCCTCAAGGATAGGTTAGTTCAACCATCCTGCCATGGGCAAGGACACCTTTCATTAGACCAGGTTGCTCAAAACACCTCATAACCTGGCCCTGAACTCTTCCAGGGATGGAGACTCCGCAGGTTCTCTGGGAGACCTGTTCCAGCATTTCACAATTCTCATAGTGAAGAATTCTTTCCTTATCACAAACTTAGATACAACACCTTTCTGTTTAAAGTCCTTCACTCTTGTCCTAAAAGTACATGCCCTTGTAAAAAGTCCCTCTCCATCTTTTCTGTAGGCCCCTTTAAGTGCTAGATGGATGTAGTAATGTCTCTCCAGAACCTGCTGTTCTTCAGACTATTCCAGCCCTTTGGTCATCTTTGTGGCCCTCCTCTGGATCTTCTACAGTATGTCCATGTCCTTCTTGTGTTGAGACCTCTAGACCTGGAGACAGTACTTCTGGTGGAGGTCTCACAAGAGCAGAGTAGAAGGAAAGCATCACCGCCATGACCAGCTGGCCATGCTCCTTCTGATGCAGACCAAGATTCTTTTGTTTTTCTGGTCCATTATCATGTATTATGTTGAGCTTCCCATCAACCAGCAGTCCTGAGTCCTTCTCTTTAACCCTTCTCTCAATCCATTTCTTGTATTTGTGTTTAGGATTGCCCAGACTCAGGTGCAGGACCTTCCATTTAGCCTTTTTGAGATTCCTGTGCCTCCTTTTGGCCATTCTCAAGCCTCTCAATCCCTCTGAATGGCATCCCTTCCCTTCAGTGTGTCAGTGTCATTGGCAAACTTTCCAAAGGTGTACTCAATCTCACTGCTCATGTTGCCAATAAAAATGTTAAATGGCACCATCCCAATACTAGCACCTGAGGAACACCACTGATATCCATCTGAACATCAAGCCATTGAACACAAGACTTTAAGTGCAACCACTCAGCCAATTCCCTGTTCACTGAGTGGTCTATCTGTCAAACCCAATTGACTCTCCAATTTAGAAAGTAAGTGTTGTATGGGACAGAGTCAAACACTTTGAACAACTACCATGTAGATTATGTCTGTTGCCTTTTCCAGGTTTTTCAAGCATGATTTACCCTTAGTGAAGCCTGGCTGGCTGTCACCAATCACCTCTTTATTTTACATCTACCTTGGAATAATTTTCAGAAGGATCTGTTCCACAATTATGCCAAGCACAGAAGCGAGACTGACCAGCCTGTACTTCCTTAGGTCTTCCCTTCTCACCTATTTAAAAACTGATGTTATCTTTCTCCTTTTTCTGGCAGTAGGAAATTCATCTGACTGTCACAACTTCTCATATATGTCAACTATACTGTAGCATAGCAACTTCAAGCATCAGTTTCCTCAAGACTTACAGAGGCCTCTAATCAAAGTTCAATGGACTTCAGGTTCCCTAGATGGTCTCAAACCTGATCTTATCATACAATGGGCTGCTCTTCATTCTCTAGTCCCTGCCTTTGCCTTTTTGACACAGTATCTGGAGCACTTGACAGTGATTACCAAAGCAAACATGTAATTAGAAACCTCAGTCTTCTCCACCTTGTGGGTAAACAGATCTCTCGATTTATTCCAGACAGACCCCCCATTTTGCCTAGTCTTACTTTTATCACCAATTCTTTTAGCTATTAGAATATTTTCTTGTTGCCATCACTGGCCAGATTTAATTTCACCAGGGTTTTAGCTTTCCTAACCTGATCCCTGTAATCTTGGATAGCTTCTTTGTATTCTTCCTAGAGTGCATGTCCTTTTTTCCATCCTCTGCAGGTTTCACTTTTGTGTCTGACTTCATCCAGAATCTCCTTTTTTATTAATGCAGGCCTCCTGGTATTTTTGCCTGATTTCCTTTTTGTTTGCATGCACCATTTCTGAGCTTGTAGAGGTGATTCTTGAATATTTATCATCCTTCTGGAGCCCTTCCTCCCTCCAAGGCTATATGCCACAGTATTCTACCAAGCAGATCCTTGATGCTAAAGATCTTCTCTCCTGGGGTCCAAGATAGATGAGCTTTTTGTGCGCCTTCCTTGCTGTCCCAAGAATCTTGACTCCTGGTGTATTGGGATATTTTGCTGGATAAAGGCCAGCAAAAAATGTTTTCAGAAGAAAAATTAACTATATTGACAACCTTATTTGCATTTTCCCTTTTCCCTTAGCTTGTCAATATGGTTAATTTTTCCTTTGAAAACTGGTTCCAGTAATATAATAAAACATATTTTGTTAGTTTCTTTGTGTGTTTTAAAACAAATAATTATTCCTACATAACATTTTTCAAAACTTTTGATACATATGGAATTTCTCCCCTGTGCTTTTCTTTTTTCCAAAATAACATAACTGTACTGTAAGTTTTTTGCATATTAGAAGACTGAAGTTCAAAACAATTTATTTACTTAGAAAAATAATTGAAGGGGCATGCAAAATACATGATAAAGTTTTTTGGTGATTTACTCAACACGTGCACGGTGGCAAACATTATCAATTGTGACTATGTTCATCAGCCAAAAGTGTTGATAAAATTTGAACTGGATCAAACAAGAATTTCTATATAGATATCCTTTACAGAGTTCCTTTTAAAAAATCATTATCAACTGTTCTGATTTGTGTGTAGCTATCTACTTCAAATGCATACGTGCACACTCAAACAGCTAGTTCTGAGCACCAGATTCACAACTCAAGTTCTGAGGCAAGTTCCATTTTATCCAAGCCAACCTTCAAATGCATAAGGCAGATTTGCAGATATTAAATTAACCTCTTAAACTAAATTTGTCTTCAATGTAGTGTAGTCTTGACACAGACTTTTGAGAGGTATAACAGTTGCTCAACGAAAGCAAGTACTTGGTGGAGATCAATTCTTAATTGTATACCCGTGTCTCTTGAGAAACTCCAGAAACTTTTGTCCCTATATCAATGATCCCTCCAAAAAGGGCTATGTTATGTGGGAAAGTGAATCCTGACTACTATCCTAGTTGAAACAGAAAAAGTGTGAGCCAGTGGAAAAAGAGATTCTTCAGTTTTCAGGCCACACTATCTTGCCTTGCTCACTTCCTTAAAACTGAAAGAAGATGATAATGGCCTATCTGTTTGACCCAAAAAATATACATGGTTCAACTAGGCTCCCTCATGGGGCACTTTTATAAAATGTTTATTTTTTTCTCCTCAGTGAATCTCTTTGCTCTTCTTCATACAACAGAACAGTGTCGCAGTATTTCCCTAAAGGTAAAATGTTGTTTTATTCCTTTGTTTGTAGTTATAGACCTTTCAAAAAGAAAACTTTTACTGAATGAGTTGCAGCTGGAGGTTTAATTTTCTGTCTGATAATTAACCTAGCCTCCTCTGGCACTTAATCAGATCATCACAGTTTATACTGAGCGCTGGCTGGCTTGTCTTTTTTCATCTTAGTTTAGCTAAGCTAGATGAGGAGAGCTTGGCATTGTATTTCAGCTAAATTCCACTTTCTTTCCCCGGATTACTGTATATATAAACACTCTCATTTGTATATATAAAAACTATCATTTGTGATCTGAAAATTTAGTAATAATTTTTATTTCTATTTCAAATTTGCTGGAAAATGTGGTGCATTCTCCTCTTGAAATGGAGTCCCATGGCTGTGCTTATACTTTCCATGTGTGTTGAAGAATTTATTAATAAGGAAAGTTATCCTTTTACTAATAGCTTTTTTTGTGATCCTATTTGCAGCCATTGATCATGTGTGTATTGTAAGGATATCTTCTCTTTTTATTTTAAGATACATTTATATACTTTCTTTTTTACAGTAACAATAGTGATCAGTGAGCAAAGCAGTATTTATAATAGCTAGCAAATATTCACTTTTCACAAAGAAATCTGACATTCTTAACATCATCTTGTTCTTTGACTCATATAAAGGGAAAAAATCAAGCAGTCAAATTACAGTTTAACAAATGGACATTTTTGAAGTTTCTAGTTATCCATTTTTTCCATTAACAATACCACATTCTGTTATTGCAGGTCTTGATTCACAGCCTCAAATAGGCTTTGAAAAATATAATAGAACATCTTTAATTAAATCCCCAAAACTCACATTCAGGGATAAATAATAATCCATCAGCTATTTCATTCTCTAACAGGACCTGGGAGAACTTGACAGTCTTAATCACTTCAGCCATTTATACCTTCATTTTCAGCTTTGTTTCAGTTGAGCCATTTAGTGGGGGTTTATCTAAATTGCAGTATCTTTTTTTCTAATCACACTTCATAGCTGTAACACAGAAAGTAATTTCAGGTGCAAAACAGAATATCTCTGAAGCACAGACATCCGTGGCATAAGCACGTTAGAATGAAAAGTTACCTGTAACTGGGTGATATTTGTCTCTATAATGAGCTGAAGCATTGAGGAACTGTGCCTGTAGTAAAATTAGAAACCACCAGCAGCAGCACAAGAGGATTCTAGCTTGTTAGAGAATATTCATTTTCCTTATTGCACAAGACAGCTGTGGATGCCAGAAATTGTTTCATTAATGCAAACAAAGTTTCAGCTATATCCCAGCATTCCTACAGGTGCGGGGAAAGTCAAAGTAAATACTCGTATAGTTACTAAACACTCATATCAATGCTGTTCTAGGGGCTTTAGCTATCTTGAGGGTAAAATAACATTTATATGTGGTTTTAGATATTACTTTTGGTATTGTATCTTGTTCTTTTACAATACTTTCTTCATATAAAATATAAGGGTATGATTTACATTATCAAATTGACGCCTTAAATATCACTATGACAGTCCCAAATTAAAAAATACATTAAAAAAATAAAAAAGAGGTGCAATTACTTGGGTTTTATTATTATTATTTTGCAATTAAAAATTTTGTCATACCCTCTTTTTTCTTTTTAATTAGTTTTACTGTCTTGGTTTTACAGATGAATATTTCCTTAACTTTCTACTGCCAAACTGCTGTAATGATGACCTCTGTAGTGACATTTATAAATTTAAACTTGCACTAGTAGAAATAGTAGTAGTAGTAGTAGTAGTCGCCCCCCAGTATTATTAATATATTTCAACTTGTAACTATTTGTCCAGTATATTTTTTGTATTTCAAGGCTGCCAAATAAACTTTTCTGAGCATAAGTTTGAATCAGCAAGAGCATGAGAATATAAAAGCATGATGCTTTTTCAGAACAGACAGCTCACAAATAGATTGTCATGGGCAAGTTAGTTAATCAGAGAATAGTTAAATTGGATGTTGACTTCTATGGCTTAGGATTTCACCTTCAGCAAGCAGCTCAAAGAATTGCCTCTGTAAATAGCTATGCCCTTGCACACTTTACATCATATTGGCACACAGTGAAAGTGACTGAGAGGCTGAAGTAGAAGCCAACAGAAGTTCTGTCAAGGGTTCATGGTAGAAGTGCGCCTCTTTCCAGAACACACCCAGGCACCACAAAATTAATGGGGAGGAAAATGAGGTAATTAAATTAGCAGGAAGTCCCATCTGTGTAATAGCAGAGAAACAAGACCTAAGTTGCATATCTTTAATGCCTAGGACTACACTCCTTTAAACTTTCCCTCCTTACTAAACACGAATGAATGAGTGTGTCGTCTTAGTCTCCAAATATGACATTGTTCTTCAAGTTTGTCGGCAACGCTCTCTGAGTGCCTGAGTATTTCCTACTGTCTTCTACTTACTGGGGCAGGACTTTTCTTTGATTGTATAAAAATGTATTTCTTATTACTCTTTAGCAGCAGATTCAACTTGCTTTTACAGTAACCATTTCAGCTTCAGAGTGCTAGATAAATTAATGTTGGAAGAGATGCAACGTATGTCATAAAAAATATTTTTCACACTAGTTGACAGGACAGGCAAACACTATATTTTAATCAAGCAGCCTTAAAAGGACTTACCTTTTAGCAGATGATTCTCAGTAACTGATTGCAATTAGCACCTATACATTAATACAGACATTTACTAATTCTTTTTTTAATTGTTCTGTGCAATTGTATGTATTTCATCTAATATAAAACAAGCTACTTTATTCTGAGGCACTTGTGGCTGTGAAGAGAAAAGAGAAAATCATGAAAGAGAATTGGTCTGCTACTAGTCATATTAAGTAAACCAGGAATGGTTATATAAATTCAATGACAACAAAACATGGCCAGCTTCTTCAAATACTCGAGTGATTATTGCTCAGTTTTTCTTTGTGATTAAAAACTACTTATAAAATATGCTTTAGGAAACACAAGAATTGCAATGGCTTGATGTGTAAGCCATTAAGTACTATACGGAAGGAGGCAGGTGTTGGTGCATTTTGCTAACACTTAAATATTTAGCATGATCATTAAATTTTATATTGCACATATGCATACATTTCCAGTCAAGTGAATGCATGCAATAGAAATTTCAGCACTTATCCCACATATTCAGTTCAGGAGAATCTGCCCCTTGTTGGTAGTGAATGAACAAATGAATGAGCAAAAGAGCTGCATAAGTATGGGAAGTGCATCTAAATCAAGGGAGCTTTGGTAAAGAAAAAACAAATAGAAATGCAAGTGTTGCTTTCCCTCATGGCTTTTTATATCATCATCTCCCTTCTTGGAAAATGTTTTGAATCTTTCATTAATGCGTTTTCAGATGATTTCTCTTTTCTTAAGATATTCCTTCAAAATTGAAAATTGTTAAAAAAATATGGTTGGAAGATTAATGGAAATTTATGCATAACACAGTTCAGCAGATTTAGCATCTCTAAGTTGCCAGTGTATTCATGTTTGATTCAACAACAAAGGATGATTTAAAGCTATAGTAATTAAAAGCATATATTTTATGAATGTAATTTAGCAACAAATTCCACTCAGGAAGTTCAAAGACTGAGAATCTTTAGTTTCACAGCTCTCACAAGTACTACAGGTTCAGTCAGATTACATGGTTCCAAAAACATGTAAAAGCTTGTCCCTGTGCTTGTTCCATTGAGTAGCCAAGTCCCATAATGGCTGTCAGAAATAGACCAAGTATATTTTCTTCCCAGCAGAAAACTATTATTATTTTGTACTGCAGTCAACAAAAAACCACATTAAGGCTGCATCCATTAATAGTCCTGAATGTTACACAGCCCCCTGAAGGTGGCTATCTTAAAAGCTAGTTGAATCTGCTGCTCCAGAGAGATAGCAATTGAGTAAATAAAAGCACAATTTTACACAACCAAAGAAAAATCCTGTCCCAGTGAGTAAAAGAAAGTAGAAAATATTCAGGCACCCAGAGAGTGCTGCTGACAAAGTTTAGAAATTGGCTCTTGCCTTTTTCATGTTCCTTCTAGCACTGAAATCTGAGAAGGACAATTAAAAAAACATTCCTGTGCCACTGGCAGAGAGAGTGTCAAAGTACTTGGCTGATCTTGACTCAATACAGGCATTTTTTAATGTCCTTACATTGTATTGATCTAAGTATTATTTTAGGAAGTTACTTACCATTTAACTACTGTCAGTAATAAATTGGATTTAATTTTGTCTTTATGACATGATTTTTTCATTTGATTTAACTTTTTTTAAATCAACAAATCTGCCATTAGTAGTCCACTTGATTGTGAAATGCATTAAATGGAATAGAATTCAGGTCAGCATCCTAGGAGAAAGTCAGTGGCTTTATGACCATCTTCCTATTCCTTTAGGGTGGTTCAATGACACTAAGACTCATCCACAGCTGCTCTACGTCCAGCTCAAGTTTTATTTTAGATCTATGATTTATGTTAAGATGTATGTCTTAATTAGGATTTAGGTTTTATGACTTTATCCCACATTATCTGCCATACTCTTCCCTCAAAAAAAAAGGCAATGACTGAAAAAATTTACATGGTCTGGTTAAGCATTCTTTTCATAATCAATCACAATCTAGGTTTTTGTCTTGACTTACATTAGTAAGTATCCACCACACAGACTTTTTGATCTTTACTTTCTATAATTAAAAAAGTACTATTTTATAGCATTTCAGATTTCCAACCAATATATGATTTTAGGATTAATTATCAAAATTCCGTTTGTACCTACCAACACACGAAACTCTTATTTTTCAATAAGACCTGAAACATCAAAAAATTCATGCTAGATTAACCAGAGGGAAAAAATCCATTACCAGAGATTGACAGAGCACAATGGCAGCACTCAAAAATAATTCTGTTAGGGTTTCATCCAGACAGTGTTATGGTCTGATGTCATCCTTTTGATATCAACACAGACATGCATTTTTCAACTGAAT